AGACGAGGAGAGAAAGCAGTGGAGAAGATATCTGTTTTGGTTGGTTATTACATAATGTCTGTATTACTAAATTTTCATAAAGAAAAGTGCAACTCCCGCATTTTCTAATAACCGCTGTAAAATGTAATCATTTATTACACACGGGGGGACATTTATTTCATATTGTGTTGAAGCTCTCTATCACAAAATGCAGCAGATAATGTTTAGTGAAGCTTTTTGACAATTTGGCGAGTTATTATACAAGTCAGACTATGGCATAAAATGATCGGATCACATTAAACTCCACAGGTGTTCCCAATAAAGGGGACACTGAGTGTATACTTTATGTACCTATATTCTTATATTTACGTAGATTCTTATGCTACATACCTTATTTACTAACTAAAGCAAAACAAATGCATAATGTATTTATATTTTATTTATACAACATCACAATCTGTTCAGTCTACTTAAATGTTCTCTCAGCAGAGGGCAGTTGTTTTTTTAATATATATAAGGTCGGCATCAAATTTATACGCTTGGTGTTATTTAATCCTTTGTATCATAGTCCCAAATGCATTATCTGTTGAGGCTTTACTTTAGTTTTTTTTTACAGTACAGAGCTGTTTATAGACTGCCTCAGCATTTACCTCCGTGTGTGTCTGTGTGTGTGTGTACGTGTTCTCTTCTCGTCTCATGATATAGAATTTGAGGTTCAGGGTTAAAGATTGTTATTTAGTTTGCAAATGTTTTCAGGCTACATACGTATGTGTCTTTGTTCCTCTGGTCCCAGCGGCGGCAGACCAGAGTCGAGGCCACAGTTGGCCAGAAGGCCGGCTCGGTGGTCAGCTCTTTCCTCGAAGTGACACAGTGTTTCTCCGACTGTTGACCATCCACTCGGCCTGCTGGCTCCCAACCAGTGGACTGTGGTTCCTTTTGAAAGAGCATCCACCCCAACAACAGCATGAGCTCACTGCCGTAATTAGCCGACACGTGTATTCGATCACTGGCTCCTTCAGTGAGATAAGACTTTGTTGTTTTCCGTCTTATCCACAAGCAGTAATTTAAACCAAAGGAAAATAAAAAAACATCCACTGTTGAAAGCAATGAAAATATATGATTTGACAAAACTCTTCAATAAAGGGTTTTAGGGATAAGGTGAAAACGGCAGAAAAGCATTGCAATCAGAATGTGATCACAACAGCCAGACCACATCTGGAGGTGGGCTGACTCGCACTGTGATCAAATGTCTGACGGATATAAATGCAGTTTGCACAGTTTAGTCACATTCTTCCTCGCAGGAAAAAATATTTAAGTTAAGGAGGAAACCTAACTCAAGCTGCCCTTCAAAAGGCTCCACACAAACCCAGCTCTTGGCAAAGGAAAAGTAAGCGGAGCCCATACAGCAGCATTGGTCAGATCCTCTAGGGACCAATGTGAGGCGCAAAGACGAGGGCCATGTCACTGAGAGGGGTTTGCTGAGTCAGCACCAGTGCTGGACCACTTCTCCACTGTGATCAGGTGATGTCTCATCTGTCACTCATGCCCCTCGCCGTGCACACTGTATGCATGTCACGCATACAGTAGCTTCCCTTCAACCTGGGACACGTCATGTTTATTGGCAAGTCTGCCAGCCCCACCCACCTATTTTGCATAGTGAGATTGGATTACAGTGTGGGCAAAATCAAGACAATGCTTATTAATATCTTTTAACTTACTGATCGCCAATAAATACAATACCGATATATTTGTGATTTGTGTATATCTGCATCGATCAGCAAATTACTATCATCAATAAATTGGATTACCAGAAACAGAATAATTGCAATAAACCGGAACCAGTTTTTTGACTACTGGTCAAGACGTCACCTTTTTTCACTTTCACCAAAGGATGAATCAATAATGTATAAATCAATCAACGGGTTAATCGATAGTCGATAGATTGGTCAATACTACTCGGACTGTAAACAGAAAGCAGAACAATTTTGATTTCAAATCTTGGATTCTACATATCAATGCAGAATCTGTTTATCGAGGTTAATTCGTGGCTGACTGATGCTCCAACTTTAAAGCGGATTAATTTCAGCTCTCAGTGCTGATAAAACCGTCATCTGTCTTTTTCAGACATCAGATTCTTGTCGATGATATAAAAGCAGTTGACCTGACTTATTTTTTCTTCTTTCATTGTCTGCCTTCATCTGTCCTTGTTTGATCTCGCTCTTTTCTTTCATGCGATTCCGTCGCTCCTCTCATCTCTCAATAGCCTTTTGCTCATTCAGCCTGTTTTTTTCTGTTTCCCCTTTGTCAGTGTGCGTTGTGCTTGTTTCTGAAGCACCACTGACAAACAGGCTGACACACGTGTCTCTTCCTCTGCCGCTCGCCTTCTCTGTAGCTCTCCGTTCTCCAAAACCGAGATAACAATCTCCCGTTTTCTTTTCTTCTCTACCTCTGTTCGCTCGCTGTTTTCCCTCCAGGCCCCACGTCCTCCGAGATGGTGCTGGATAGGGGACACCTGTCGCATAGGGTGTGTGTGAGAGTGTGAGAGTGTGAGAGTGTGAGAGTGTGAGAGAGAGAGAGAGAGAGAGAGAGAGAGAGAGAGAGAGAGAGAGAGAGAGAGAGAGAGAGAGGGGGATGGGGATGGATGGATGGATGGATGGATGGATGGATGGATGGATGGATGGATGGATGGATAGATAGATAGATAGATAGATAGATAGATAGATAGATAGATAGATAGATGGATAGATCACAGACCAGGTCTGGGTGTTTGGGCAAGGAGTGAACTTTAAAGAGTCGGGGAAGACAAAGCCTGCAGTGGGGCAGCTTTCGGGCTGAATGGAGCTGAGGATCTGTTGGCCTTTTAGGTCTACAAAACACTCTGTCATTGAAGTCTGTTGTGTTGTGAGTACTGGAAGAGCCAGGACTCTGTTATCTGAGGGATAGCGTCAAGGGAAAGGCAGGTAGATTTAAGCTAACATGGATATTAATAGTAGAAGATGCGCTAAACAAGAGGAGAAAAATAATCCGTAAAATATTGCACACAGCTTTAGTTTGATGGGTGTGAACATGTGAAAATTAGGTGGACTTAACCAAAAAACAAAAGTTATGGTATTGATATTCCCTGCATCTCCAGCATATAACAACCCATGATGAAATAGCTCATCATCAGCAGTCAAACATAACAACATTTATGCACTCCTCCAGAGAGAACACCACATTTAGTTTTGTGGATGGAGACTTGACGTATAAAGATAGATTCATACCACAATAATACAGCAGACTCAAATATAGTTTTAGTCTAAAATTGGTGACCAAGTAACAGAAGTGTTTATGGCTGTTCCTAAAGGCCACACTCAAAGGTCGGGTGAGAAGCCAGCAGTCATAAAGCGGGGAGTGATGCAATGGTTGTTTCATGGAGATACACTTTCAGACCTGGGAGACATTCAGAGTGTTGTACTATTTTGTAGGCAAAGATGCGAAAGTCTGTGCAAAAAGGTACCTGATGGTTTGCTTTGTCGATGTGAGCACTCAGACAAGTGTAATTTTTTTGTGACTGCTGTTTCTTTAAGAAACACATTTTGAACTTTTCGGTGTCTCTCGGTCTGTTTCGGTGTCGCTCGTAGCGAATGCAGAGCTTATTGTTTCGATTTCTTTCCACAATCGGTTCATTGTTTTATATGGTGTACATGTACATATCAACTGTAAAACCTAAAAAAACAGGTTGGAGATCACACACTTGACCTTAAGAAAACACCTCCATTTAAGGATGTCCCTACAATTCAGTAAAATCAGCTGTCCCAGTTATTTTGTCCCGGTTACATCCACCACGATACAACTTATTATCTTCCGAGTGCCTTTTTAAACTTGGACTATCTCGTTTATTATCAGCGGGTTTACTCGGCTGGATTAGTGTGGTATTTAGTGCGGGGCAATAAACTGACACATATTAACGCCAAGTCATTTGCTCTACAACCTTTGTGATCTCCTGATCTTGGCTCCAGCAGACTGTTAACACCAAACACAGACTTGTGCAACACCTCAGCACACAGACGTGTTTGTTCCACATCTAGAAGATTGTTGTCTTTGTTTGATTTCCACTTTTGACACTTTCTTAAAAGTGATTTAAATGCTTTCCTCGTGGTTAAAGAGACGTTCAGCAGGGCTCAACAATAACTTTTAGAAGTGGTTGGCGAAACTGAAAATACAGTTGCCATTTCTAGTCACTTTTTTTTTGTTTTTATTCACGATACTATGCAGTTATACATCAGCTTAATGATGTAAATTTGACAGAAGAAAAGCTTTATTACAGTAACAAAACAGAATTATTCTTCTTTCCATCCAACTCAAAGATGCCAGGATACTTTTCCTCCCAAGACTTCACAAATCTCCTTACGGTTTTTCCGTTTCGGTTCATCTGGTTCTTTGTCCGTTGAATCGATTTGCACATTGGTTTGTGATGTTGGCGGGTGCGGGTAAACGCACCCACGCAATTGTAGCATTGTCAGGTTCTGTTGGACTTTTAGGTCTACAAAACACTTTCTCATTGAAGTCTGCTGTGTTGACATATAAAGATAGATTCATACCACAATAATACAGCAGACTTAAATATAGTTTTAGTCTAAAATTGTTGACCAAGTAACAGAAGTGTTTATGGCTGTTCCTAAAGGCCACACTCAAAGGTCGGGTGAGAAGCCAGCAGTCATAAAGATGATGATGCAATGGTTGATTAAATATATGGTTCTGACTGTAATTGCAATATTTAAATATCCCTGATGCAATAAATATATAAAATGTATTAAGTTGGGGGTTCATTTTTTCCTGTTTCCTTATTTTTTACATGTTAAAAAGCAGGTGCCACTAATGGGAACTAAAGGCCATGGATTGGTACTCAATGGCAACCTGACAACTGTTAATGCCGAACCCTGATTCAGAGACTCTAGAGTATCATGTCACATCATATATTTGTTTATTAATGAGATATAAGCACACACACACGACTTACCCGACGACTTTCTCCTCAGGTTGTCAGCGTCCGGTCGGTCTCTCCAGAGGAAAGGCAAAGGTGTGCTACTACAGCGGCTGGTACTACTGCCAGAGCTGCCATCAGGACAACTCTTTCCTCATCCCAGCACGTCTGCTACACAACTGGGACACCAGTAAGCACAAGGTGGGAGAAAACACAGACATGCACACACAACTAAATGAAAAAATAACCACTGTCTCTCTCAAAATATGATTCTTACAATTGATCTATAACTTATTATGAGCGACTCGAGCGTCAGCAGGGTATCTTGTTGATGCTTACAACCATGGGACATCCAGCTTGTTGGTTATTGTCCCTCTCGTCTCCTGTCCTTGGTGCAGTGGCTCTGATGGAAACTCTAATGTGCTCCTCCAGGTGTCTAAACAGGCCAAGGAGTTCCTGGAGTTTGTGTACGAGGAGCCTCTGCTGGACGTCCAGCAGCTCAACCCTTGTCTGTATGAGCACTGTGAGCCTCTCAGCACGGTGCTGCATCTCCGTCAGCAGCTCCAGTCGCTGCGGGCCTACCTGTTCAGCTGCCGAGCAACTGTTGCAGAGGACCTCAGACGAAGGTAGGTTGGCGGTGAAGTCTATTGTGGTGGTGAGGCAATATTAAGGCTCTTAACACACATATTTTACACATTAGAAATATGATTTGTGTAGAGTTTTAAAAGACGATACTTATTCACCTGCACAGAGGTTGAAAATATATTTTAAAACAAGCAACAACCTTCAAGGAGCTCATACATTTGCTCATACATTTGGATGGGACATTGAATCTTGAAGTTCTACTTAGAAGCTAATCTGCACCTTCTGAACGCCAGAGATGTTCTGCCTCTGTTGTTGAATGTAGATTATTATCGAACAGACAAAATTACATTATTTTTCCTCTTTTTTTGTCCCTGAACGGTCGTGTCAATTTAATTAATGTAGCGCTCCTTAAGTGGAAACAATTAACTGGAATTAGAAAAATTTAAAAAACAAAAATGGACTTTTAACTAGTAGGGAAGAGGTTCAAAGTGATAAGGAACTTGTTTGTGACCAGTCTGCAAGACATTTGTCGGATTTAAAGGGTGAGTTCTCCCACATCACACCAAAACACAGAAAACAAAACTATTCTTAAATTTGTAAATTTCATTTTAGTTATTTTCTGTGCAGCTACTGCTATCGTCTAACATTAGCAGGCCGTGTCATCAGAGTCACACTGACTGATACCCTGTTATTATTCCTCTGGTGATTGATGGACTTCACAGGCTGTTAACATCTCCCCGTATGATCTGTGTTTACATGTGTGTGTCTGAGTGCATGCATGTGTATTGCCATAACTTTTTTCTGCATGCATTCCTGTCTGTTTATACACTGCATACACATAAAGGATGTGCACCTGTGTGTGTGCACATGTTCGTGTGTGTGCACATGTTCGTGTGTGTGATGATCGGGGGGGGGGGGGGGGTACTGTTTATCTGAGCGGGGTCCCTCACTGAAAGCCTTGTCTGTGAGCTGATGGATGATCCTTGCCCCGATCCAGGTCACTAATACAATCTGATCCAAGTATTTCTAAAGGAGAAGCATCCACCTCAGCAGACTGGCTGGAATGTAATTAATACTCTATCATGATCATCACCCACCAGTAACGGTATCTAACCATGCAAATCATTTTTAGAGACTTATTTTTTGGTATAAATTATTCCAAAAATAATTGTTCACAGCCAGGTCTGTGGATTATCCAAAGTAACATGAACGTTGTTTCTGAAAAGAATTTGGTTAACCCTTTAATTACAGTAATGCAATTCAAACTAAAATCAAATTGTTACATTTGATTTTTAATTTCCAGCTAAGTAAAAGAAAAAAACATTTTGCTAGTAGGTCTATATTCAAATCTTTATATTACGCTAAACTATTTCTATCATTTGTGCTTTGTTTGGGCTTTTATACTGCTCATAGTTGCCACAAATAAAGATAAATAGTATATAAATAAATAATTTGACTAAGCTGTCAAAAAAAGTATACATTACAGACAAAATGTTAAAGGCTACATATGTCAGATGCCAGCTATAGATTCTGAATTCTGAACACACTGATTGTCAATGAATGTCAACACGAGATCAAATCAGATTATTATATATTATTTTTGGTCTTCAATGAGAGTTTTAATGTCCGCCACGATTGAAATGTTTTTGTCTCTGACCTCCATATTAGTCGTCCCCGACTGCAACACAGAGACGAGCAGCATCATTTCCTTCTGTGTTTACTCCTGTCCCATTAGCCAGTGCCGGCTGGTGCCCAGCCACTTCCAAACACTGCAGGATTGATGAGGGCCGTGGCGCTAAAACCTTCCCTAATCATCAGTCTACTTCAGGAGGAGAGGGGGGGGGGGGATCTGAAGGGAGATGTCTGTTGCATGCATGCATGGAAACTCAATCGCACTCACAACCACATGAGGCACCAAAGTCTGTAGGTCAGAGAGCACTATAGTTTTGGCCCTGTGCAGCACTTCTCAAAAATTAACAGGGGATTACATCTTTGATAGCTTTGCAATGTAATCTTTGATCGGCCTAATATGCAGTATAAAAGCTGCCTTTTGTTGTTTTATTGTCAAAGTTTGGTGACGGTATGAATGAATCTCAGGGAATTAGGTAATTGTTTGTGGTGAATGAGGCAAGTCTAATGTCTTAATGACAGAAGGCTTTTGGTAATGTTACATGGTACGTGCTATATTGGTGCTATAGCATGTACTGTGCTATATGTTCCTATATAGCATGCTACATAATGTTTACAATGGTTGCAGATTTACCAACGGAACAATCCTTGATTTCAGACAGAAGTAAACAAAAGGCTTCTCATTTCTAGCCAGCAACCGTTCATTTTGTTGGTTTAAATGACAACTGTCTCTAGCAGATTTCATCAGCTCTAGTTAGCGAGCTAAGAAAGCTAACGTTAGGTACGTGTGTCACTTGAAATGGTGAGTTGTTTTCGTTTTGTTAATGAGATGATTTCATGTGGATATTAGAGTGTTATTTCAAGGTTGTTATTCTTGGTTTCAAAGCGTCCGCTGTGGAAGCGGCTGCTAGGCGCTGTGGCTGGAAGGTCATCGGTGCCTGTCAGTCCAGCAACCTAAGGATCTGCTGGTGGACACCAGCGGTGAAGGAGGCCGTCAAATCCGGCAAAGTTTATTCCAGGGTGCTGGAAAGGAGCCTCCGACTGACTGTCGGACCTCAGATCCAGGAGGAGCAATGCAAATTCTGTCCTGGCCGCGGAACAGTAGACCAGGTCTTTACCCTTGCGGGTCTGTTGGAGGGGTTATGGGAGTGACCAATCTAAATGTGTTTTGTGGACTTGGAGAAGGCTTACGACTGTGTCCCCCGGGGAGTCCTGTGGGGGGTACTGCAGCATTATTGCATACCGGGGTTGTTGCTACGAACCATCTGGCCCTTGTATCCCCAAAGTGAGAGCTTTGGCTGTATACTCTGCATAAAGTCAAACATGTTTCCAGTGCGTGTTGTCCCTTGTCACCAATCCTGTCTGTGATTTTCATGGAGGAGAGTGTCAGGTTTATTGGGTCTCTGCTCTTTGCAGATGACGTGGTTCTGTTGGCTCCTTCAGAACGTGACCCTAAGTTCGCACTGGGGCGGTTTGCAGCCGAGTGTGAAGCGATCGGGATGAGAGTCAGTACCTGCAGGTCCGAGGCCATGGTTCTCTGCCGGGAAAACAGGTTGCACTTCGGGTTAGGAGTGAGTCACTGCCCCGAGTTTGCTAGATGATTACTAGTGTTTGCCAAGGTGTCAGAAATTGTTGGGTGATCATCTGTTATTTTTTCAGAAAGATTGTTTCTTTTTTTAATGTACTCAGGCAGCATTATTATAGTTTTCTTTTAGGGATTTATTAGTAATGAGGTGTGTATGTATCTTCTCATTTATATAAGTGAGGATATAACTTAATATGGCTTTTTTGCAGAATAATTATGTCTGTGTATACAAGATTTCTTGGTTTGGTCATATAATACCCACAATGTTATGAAGAAGTGATTAAAAAACAAACAGCACTTGCCATGATGCTGTTTGATGGTTTAGGCACATATTTGTGGTTGTTGGGGGTTGGGGTGGGTCTGGTTGTATGTTGTGGTGTAATAATTGGTTTCTGTGGTGTTAATAGGTCTTTTATAGTCTTTGCTGGGATGTACAAGGTGGTTCTTAGTGTGTCTAAAGTGGTTTATTGTGTTTATTAGAAGGTTGTGAAGATATACTAGGTGGTTAAGGTAGTGGTAGGAGAAGTTGTAGGAGTTCGTGTATACTAGTAGTAATACTTGTAGTGGTAAGAGCAAGTTGCCAATGTAGGTGGTTATGTTTTTTTTGTACAACTACAGAAACTTTCATTTCGATGGACTTTATACTTATCGCATCATTCAAAACATTAACACCACAAACATACAGCAACCTGAAACCATGACACTGTGTCAACACAAGTTGAATGTTATGTTTAACAGAGATAAGATTTAGTTTTGGTTTGCATTAGATTATAATGTGTTTGTTTTTTCCACACATACTTATTTGCAGGACATCCTACATCTGCAGGTTCACACACACTTACTCAGGTCAGACCCTCCTTCAGTACACGATCAAAATCACAGAGTGGAAACAAAATCTGAATCAAAGGTGTGTCTGCTGCAGTGGAAAAACACAGAGGATAGTGAAATGAAATATGGAATTAAATACCATCCGGTCTTATGCAAATATTATCATTCGTTGTCATATGTGTGTGTTTGCATATATGCATGAATCTGTGTATCTTCTGCTTGTAATCTAATCCTAAAATGTGTTAGTTCTCAAGTACGTTTATCAAGATCGGCACACACTTTAAAGGTGTGTTCATCTTGGCACCGACCACACACTCAACAAGGAGCCAGTCTGTGTTTGATTATTGGACCACAGTGTGTGTGTGTGTTTGTAGTCTTGTGAATGCTGATGTGGTAACCATTGGTAACATACCTAACAGAGTAGCTTATCAGGTGCCTATCACCATGAGGTGTCTGGATCACACACACACACAATATGAATACATGCACATACTTGTGTTTTGGTGACACTCATCACAGCTTAGACAGGATTTAACATGGTGCCATCCATCTTAGTGGTCTCAGAGGAGGACTCACACACACACACACACACACGCACACACAGTCCTGTCTGTGTCCTGTCTGTGTTTTGTCACATATTGTTTGAAGATGGAGTGCGTCAGACTCCCAGATTGATATTGACTGGTGGTTTAACCATAATATAATCAATGTAATGCTTATATTTATGTGACCATTGTCTTCCATATTTAAACATTTGAGTTCAAAGATTGAGTTCATTATTTTAAAACTGGCCTGCACAATTTAATTTATCAAGCAAATTTAGGCTTCAAGTTGCATTTGTGCTTACAGTTTGTGTTTAATCAGAGTTGTATTTATTTAGGCAGTCGGTCACCTATAGCTCAGATAGATAAGAACCTAAATTTACATTTAACTGAACACCAATTTTGTCACAACATTAAAAGCATGAAACAGTTTGAACTCATATGTCTGGCAGATCATACAGTATATGTCTATAATTGACAGGATATAATGAACAAAATGCACATTCTTATATGGGAAATTGTACTTTATTATCATTCATTACATTTTCTCGGTTTATGTTTTTTTTTTTGTATTTATTCGTTTCCAAATAAAATTGTTCTGCCTTAGCGGCACGATTGAGTGTACTCTGTTCTTTATTGTGTACGTCGTACCACATAATGGGGTTTGTCTGGATGACATATTAAAACAGTGACAATAAAAGATAATATATTTTACCTTCACCTGTTTTGTTGGTAAAGGAAGCTGGGAATTGTGGTTATTATTTTGACAGAACTGGGTAATGTGTTGATTACTGTTTGTGGCATTTATTAAGAGAATATGCTGAATATTGTGACACATGACCTGCTTCACAGAGAATAACGTATCCAGATGTTTTTCTCTTGTCTTTTCACAGGATCTTCCCCAGGGAATACCTGCTACAGCACATCCACCTGTACTCCATGGCTGACCTGCAGCAGGTACACACGCACACACACACACATGCTTACATGCTTTTATGTGTACAGTAATAGTGACGCCATTCACATGTCTAACATGAACTGAAACTAAATTGACGTTGCATTAATCAGTTTTCATTTTAGACCTCAGACCGGACTGATTCTCAAAGACCCTTTTTTATGATATGTATTAGTTTAGATAATTATTTAATCTTATATTATCTTATATATATATCGCCATTTTAGAGAACATTTGCTAGCTAGCTACATTAGCTAACAGAATGTTGCTGGCCTTATGTAGTGTACAACCTCTCCCTTGTAGCTCTGGCAAGAGCCCATGTCATAACAGTGTTAAGAGAGGGTAATACCCTCTAATAGCCCTATTTAGAACAAGGTTAGCTCTTTCAAGTGTCCTGATCCAAGAAACCAATGGTGTCGGTGGAAAGAATTCATATCTGGCATTGTGAAAACCTTTAACTCTGCCGCTTATCTAATCAGCAGATTTTCTTATCAAACGGCATATCTCTACCATGCCTGCCGCTAATACCAGTTACGCCGCCCAACTCTGTTTTTGGACAATTTAAATGTCTTCAGTTTAACATGAAAGTAGAGAAATTCTTTTTTTCTTTTTTAGCAGTGATCATTAAAAAAAGGAAACACAGCCTGGCCTTTCAGCGGTTGGGGGTCAGAGGAAAGCGATCACAAATGACTGAAAAGTTCTTTTGTTTGTCATTATGTTCATTATGTTGTACCCTGCCCCATTTCTCTTCTTTCAACCCCACCTTCTCTGACTCGGAGCTCGGCCACAGACTCTCACGGTGAAAGAGATTGGGCCTCCTCCTCGTCCTCCTCCACTCCCACACTCTGTGTCTCTCTGCTTCACTAATTGGTTACATTCAGAATCAACAGGCAGAAAAACAAAGCGTGACATCCCTCCATTCTTCCCGACATCCCCTTGGCCTCACACACGCTCAGCACACATGTGTTATGTGTGTGTGTGTGTGTGTGTGTGTGTGTGTGTGTGTGTGTGTGCGCCTCACTCTCTGTCACTGCTAAACTTTGTGATTTACTCATAAACACCAAACTGGTGATTTAGCACTAATTTCAACAATAAGCAGAGACTGCACCGCTCCCTCTTCTCCTTCCCTCCCCCCTCTAACCTCCCCCATCTCTCTGACTATCTCAAGCACTCTGCCCCTTAATTGGTTTTCCATATTAACAAGCTTGTTTCTTTTGATTCACCTCCTGAATAAAATGACGCTCTTAATCAACGTGGCTTTTTTTGTTCCAGCTCAGAGGTCAGTGGAGGCTAAACTCCCCTGGCTAAACCCTGGACCACACTAAGTCTATTCACCTCCCGACAAATAGCCTCCACCCATATCCCCCATTAGGAGCCAGTTCATTTGGGGAAAACATATGTGTTTGTCGAAGGACGCTCTGCCCTTTTCCTCTGCTGGTTTTAAGGATTGTGTGTGTGTGTGTGTGTGTGTGTGAGAGAGAGAGAGAGAGAGAGAGAGAGAGAGAGAGAGAGAGAGAGAGGTTATCCAAACAGAGCTGGTCTTTCCAGTCATGTAATCCCAGCTGGCTTCCTAGTTCCTCAATGGAGCTGTGGTAGTCTGTGTGTGGGAGGGAGGGCAGGCGAACGGCTGTTAAACAGCAGTTTTAGGGGATTAGGAGGTTTTGGAGCACAAAGACTCTGCATGGAGCAGAAAAAAAGGTTGAACTGGAGGGGGAGGAGTTTAAGAGGATGGAGGGAGGGAGGGAGAGGAGAGGAGGTGAAGTGTGTGTGTGTTGGGGGGGTTTGGAGGGTT